ACCCCTGTGCCCAGCCCCATTCAGCAGTGATTTGCCTCTGGCCAAATTCTATTCTCCTTTTTATTTTTCCTATTTATTTTCGCTGCCATGTCTTAAAGCAAATGCAGATATCACTTCATTTCACCAGTAAATACATAAATCATAAATGCATTTTTAACTCCTAAAAATAGCAATTTGGCTATAAATCACAACTCCCAACACATCCACAGCCTGGTCTAACACTCAGAAGCTGGGACTTTGATGGTGGAATTACAACTCTTTTCTGTTTGACTTTACTGCAATCCAGATAGTAACAAGCACTGTGACTTTTATACTTTACACACACACACACACACAAATGAACAAACACGGAGGCCAAGGGCTACAGAAGCCAGCAGAGGCTGGGCAGCAGCTGCTGCCAGGCTGTGCGTGAGAGGTGCAAGCTGAGCCACCCTGCAGGTCTCCCTCTTCCCTCTGCCCCTTGGTCCCATTGCCAGTTGGAGTTGGGAACTCAGCACTGTGAGCACAGGGTAGCTGCTCTCCAGTCTCACCACAACACTGACCTAAGGACCTGAAGGAACCAGGCACCCAGCAGTACTCCTGGCTCACAGACTGAGCAGGGAGGACCTCAGTTTCCAGCAGGCACGCAGCTTGGTGGATGTCTGCTCTGGCCACCAAAGGGATGGTGTGGCAGAGGGAATCATCCGGAAGACTGGAACAGGCAGGAAGGGACAGCAGGATTTGGCGGGATGAGGAGAAGTTTCAGGGAGTGGAGGGGAGCCCGGAGAGGGTCAAGGCTTTGGCCAGGCAGCTGGTCTCCATGGCGGCTTCCCTGCCCAGAATCCATGCTTCTCAGACCTGTTTCTTTCAGGAGTTGTGAGGTGGAAGCCACAGGGCTTGGTAGCAAACACCTGTAATCCCAGTGACGTGGGAGACTGAGGCAGGAAGATCACAGGTTCCAGGCCAATTTAGCTTAGTGAGACCCTGTGTCAAAATAAAAAATATAAAGGCTGGGGATGTAGTTCAGTAGTAAAGTGCCCCTGGGTTCAATCCCCAGCACCAAAAGCAGGGTGGGGGGGTTAGAAAGCTGGGTGAAGTTAGAAAGCCAAGAAGGACACTTGGGAGCCACCCACAGCACAAACAGCGAGGGAACCCAGGCCACTCTTTTCCCTCTCAGAGCTCACCTGGCCAGTGCCCAGCTCTTTGGCCTCGACCCAGCCGAGGTGGTCCCTGAGTGGTCTCTGAGCCAAGGCCCTGGCAGACATCCCCAGCAGCCCTGGGGGCACCTCCACCTGAAGGAGAGGGCCTCAGGTTTAAGAGCAACGGGAAGGCCATCAAGGCCCTCCCAGCAACAGAGCTGGGGGCCTGTGCACACCAAGGCCACTGTGGGGAGGGAGGTGGGGTCACCAGTTAGAAGGCAGGCAGTTCCCTGGTGCCATTCAGGTGCTCTCTGTGGCTGTGAATGAGGCAGGAAGGAGTGAGCCCTGGGTGTGGTGTGCTCTCAGTACAGAGCCCAGGGAGGCCAGGAGTGAAGTGTGCAGGGCAGGTGATGACCACCTGGGGAACTGGGCAGGCCTAAGTCTGCTGCCCTCCCCCCTCCTGGAGGCTGAACTGGGCTTGGAATTTTTCCAGCTCTAACTCCATATATGCCCTGCCTGAGGACAGGGTGCGGTGCCCAGACAACCCAGCTTCCAAGCACACACGGCCTTAGCGGTCCTTCCTGGCTCTCCTGGTAAATAACCCACCTGCAGATGTCTGAGTGCCGGCTCTGGGAGGGGAGCATATTTCCCCCATTCTCTCAGGCCATTGTTGTCAGCTCCTGTGTACCTAAGGACAGAGGCCCCCCAGAGGGTGGATCCTGCCACCAATCCCATCAGCAGTGGGGGTCCTGGGAGCTGGAGCGGGCAGTCTGCATGGTGCTGGTGTGAGGGACGGTTTGTCTCCCTCTCCAATCACCGCAGGCCCAGCAGTCCAAGCACCATAAATGTGATGGGGAAACGGGCCTGGAGAGGATCAGGGGTTGCCAGTAGGACGGGTTCTGGCAAAGGCCAGGGCAGGAGTGGGGCAAATCGTGTTTGCCCCAAATGGGTTCAGAGGCTCTGCACCAGAGCCCTGGGCATCCCAGGGGGGCTGCAGTTCGGCCTCACTTACAGAGAGGGTGAGGCTGATGGGTGGAACCCACTGGGGAGGGCGGGGCGTGTGGTGGAGACGGATCGAAGCCATTCATCTTCTGCCAGCCGCGGAGCCATCGCGGCGAGGTGCGCCCGCGATCGATGGCGCTGGAACTCAGGGCTCCAAGGGGCCAGGCGCACCCCAGGCTGGTCCCGCGCCCCCCAGGCCTTCGTGGGCTTCGTGTTGAGCCGTCAGGTCTCTGGTTTGTGCCATCCCTGGTGCTATGCCTCGTGCATGACGACAAGGCAGATCTAGTGGCTGGCCCAGCTTCGGATCCGTTCGCTCCATCGCGGCGCTTCGCTCGAGCGCGGCGACACCGGCCCTCTCCTTTCCCGTGCGGGGTCGCAGTCTTTCCTTCGGCCTCCTGGCTCCTCCAGCCCAGGAACTGCTCTACAGACAGACTTACTAACTCTGCGGGAAAACGCCGGTTCTGATTTAGCGTTCACAGCGCGTTGAGCGACGACGACGCAGGCCCTGCCTGCACCTCCTCCTTAGTTCCCAGCGGCTACCGCCTGCCTGCAGAGCCCTCACCTTCCTGCGCCCCGTGGCCCCTGCCTCAAGTGGCTGCCCCTGCGTCCTTAAGCCTGGCTGTGTGGGGTGTCACAGAAGAGATCTGCCCCAGGACCTGCCATCAACGACCCCCTCACACTCAGGAGCTCCCTGAGGTCACCGTGGGACCTCAGGACCTCACACCCGAGAGACAGTGAAGGAAATGGCTGCAAGGCAGCGATATCCCTTCATCTGGCTTTAGATGTCCCATTCTAAAAGGCACAGGAGATGTCTCAGTGGTCTGAGATTCCCAGAGACCTTGGCTGGAGAACAGCACGGATCCACAACGGGCTGCTGGCCCCGGTGCTTGGAGGGTAAGGGGCAGAGACATGCATTGGCCATGGCCTGCTGTGGGGAACTGCTGGACTCAGGGCATGGCTGCCAGCAGCTGTGCAGGTCCATGGAGGACTGGCAGAGATGTGCCCATGACTGGATGAGACCAGAACAAGAACGAGAGAGACCAAAGCCAGGGACACCAAGCCTAAAGAGGGCACGGCGGGGAAGGAGGAGGGAGAAGAGATGGGTCTGACGTTTGCCTGTGGATATCCCTCTACCCTCTATGGCCATGGACCAGGATTAAGGCTTTTGAAAGTAAAATCATTTCACTGAAGTGTACCATCAGTCTTCCGCCCCACCAAAGCCCAGGGAAAACAGTTTTTGTTTCGTTTTCTTTTTCCCATTTTGTGGCACTGAAGATTGGACCCAGGGCCCCACCGTTTAATGCTAGGCAAACAGGTGCTCCCCACGGTTAAGGGCAGTTCCCACACTGCGAGGGTTCCCAGACTCCAGGCCTGGAGGGACTGAGAAGTGGGGGGGGGGGGGCTGAAGGTGTGGGCGCAAGGCCATGGCCCCCGCAGCGCCAGCTCCCAAGGCTCCTGGGCCTCAGAGCTCTGGGAGCCAACTCTTTGGACTAGGCTGGGGCAGGGACACATGCACATAGATGGACTGTGCCCTTCCTGTGGCTCCTTCTCTTAGGCCTTCTGGTGCCACCTCCAGCACCCAGACCCAGAGTATGGTCCCCAGTTGCTGCTCACCTCAGCTATGGAGGGGCTGCTCCAAAGTGAGGCAGAGAGGGATGCCAGTTTTCTAGGGGGCCCTGTCCAGCAAAGAAGTGACCCTCTCAAGCCCTGAGTGACTTGCTGCTTTGGGCTCAATCACATCGAATGAAGGGTCCCTTGTCCATACATGGCAGAGCCCCCACCTTCACCCCAAAGCAAGCTGCCTTGGGTTGATGGAGAAGGGCAACCCCAGCAACACAGACCATCAGAACAGCTTTTGTTAAGAGCCCGTAACTGGGCCCTGAGCCCCTGTGCTGGAGGCTGCAGAGAAGGAGACCCCGGCAGGAGTGGGAGCCCTCACCTCACCCTCAGGGAGTGCGAATGTTTTGTTTGAGCCCAAAGAAAAATTCAACAGGACTCAGAACCCCAAGTGCCCGGGGGAGGAAAGCGGAGGCTGCAAGCCTCCTTCCTGCCTCCCCTGCCTCCTGGGAACCACACTGCTTTCCCTGCTCCCCCTTCCTGGGCCACCAAGGCTATCACCCCTGAGGCAGAGCTGGGACTTAGGGAACAAATCCCACTGCCATCATGTCCTGCCCACTTCACCAGGCCCAGGCTCCCAGTTCCCTGGTCAGTGTGGGAAAGTAGGGAGAGAAGGCCTCCACAGAGCCTGCTACCAGAGGAGGGCCCTGCCCGGGGATCACAAAGCAGTGAAACCATCCAGAAAACGTCCCTTTTTATTCCATACGCAATAAGTAAATTGATTAAAAAAAAAAATCTTCACCAGGAAAACAGAGGCTGCAGCCCAGGAGAGAAGACCCAGCCGGCCTGTCTTCTAGGAAAGGAGGGTCAGTTCCTGCAAGGGGAGTCCTTGCTGCCCGGGGACTGCCCTCTGGGTCCTGCTTTGTCCCAGGAAAGCACATTTTGCATTGGGGCAGTGTGCGTGGGGACAGTCACCTCGCAGCCCCTGGGACAGCCTGCTGGAAGTTTGCTGTTGCTGCTGCTGCGGGCCCTAAAGGCAGGAGCCCCGCTTTGCAAGGCCTGGCCCCGGCCTGCGGCTGATTGTCTTCCTATGGCCCCTCTCCGCGGGGTCCAGCCTTGCAGCTGCTTGGGGAGCGGCCCTGGTACATTCTGGAGAGGCTCCGAACAGCAGCTGGGGCCCTACACTGAGGTACAGAGGCGGCCCTAGGAGGCCACCCGCCCCGATCGAACCGCGCCCTGCACCCACCGCCACCTTCACTGCCGGTCCACAGGGGTCTGCAGCAACCTGGGGAGGATGCTGGCCAGCGGCGGGCTCACAGAGGCTCACACCAGGCCCGGCATCTGCGCCCGCAGAAAGGGCACGGAGGCAGCGGTGGGGAAGGCGGCCAGCGGGTAGGCCAGGGCTCCGGAGAAGCCGAGCAGCGGCGGGGGCGGCGCGGGCGCCGGGGGAGCCAGCGGGAAGGGCAGCGCAGCCGGGGGCCCGGCGCCGGCCGAGGCCGAGGGGCTTTCGTGGTAGAGCACCGGCACGCGGACCAGACGCTGCGCGCCGGGCGGGGACAGGCTGGCGGCCTCCAGCTCGGCGGCCAGCTGCCGCTTCCACTTGTTGCGACGGTTCTGAAACCAGATCTTGACCTGGGTCTCGGTGAGCTGCAGCGAGGCGGCGAGGCCGGCGCGCTCCGCGCTGCTCAGGTAGCGCTTCAGGTCGAAGGTGGACTCCAGCTGGAAGACCTGGCTGCGCGAGAAGACCGTGCGCGTCTTCTTCTTGCGACCCCCGACGCCGCCGCGCGCCTCCGCGGCCGCCGAGGGGGCCGGGGCCTCTGCCAGCTCCGCGGCCTCCTCCCCGCCAGCCACCGGGCCCTGCGCCGCCAGCTCCTCTGCCTCCCGCGGCACCGCTCCCGGCCCGGGGCCCCGCGGCCAGGCGCCCTCCGCGCGCCCCATCTCCTCGCCCGTCTCCGGTGAGTCCCGGTCACTGGCTGCAGGGGAGAGAGGTGCATAATGTTTTGTTCCGGGCGGCCTCCACCTTGAGGTCATCCACCACCTCAAGCTGGAAAACATGGCACATTAGGGCCCTGGCATCCAGAACTGGAGGTTCGGGGTGGGAATAAGGAGGGAGGCAGAAGAGGAGGAGGTGGACCTGAAAAGCCAAGATCTGTGGCAAACCAACACCGCGTGCGACATTCTCACTCAGAAATGCACACCCACGCCCAGAGGACAGAGAAAGAAGGGAAGGGAGAGAAAAGAAAATGCAAAGGCACAAAAGGCAGGGGAGCCCTCTGGCTACTGCCCCTGGCTGCACTGCCTGCCCTGGGGAAAGGCACAAAAGACCCACAGGAACCCCTGGGACCAGAGGAAGTACGTCCTTCCCAGAAAGAGGAAAACAAGCACAGAGCCACCCTTGCACACCCGCCAGGCCCGCAGAGCCTCCGAGCACAGGAATAAAGGCCTGCAGTGACCCTCACAGTGCACTCAGGAGCAGATGCACAACGCTGTCTGCCTGTCTGCGTGCATGGAAACATCTGCCAGAAGAAGGCAGCCAATCCTCAAAAGTAAAATGCAGCTAAGTGATATAGGCATCCCCCCCAATACTTTGGACCCCTGACCCAGATGCCCACAGAAGCATGCCTTGTCCAGCCACCATCCCGCTCAAAGGGAGCACCAGGAAACCAGCAGTCCCACCCAGAACCAAACACCTTCTGTGCTGGAGGTTCAGCCTGCAGGTTTGGGGTACGGTACAAAACCCACAGGGACTACTGAGTCCATGCTCTGAAGAGGGCAGCGCCGCACACTGCAGGGACCAGCCTGCCCCTCACTGAAGCCTCCACACCAAAGGGCAGGTCCTGGTTGACTGATTGGAGGTTGAGGTGGAGTTTGGCTGGCCCTTGAAGTCAAGGACTCAGGTGGACAAGGGGTGTGCCCCAGTGTGAGCTCTCGGCATGCCTGTGTGAACAGTGCAGACCTCAGTGGGCTGGTGTGATGGCTTGGCATGGTGTTCTTCCAGCCCTGCAGATCTCGCTTCTGCCCCTACCCAACCCCCACAACATGTTTCATCTTGGTGCCCACGGAGAAATCAGGTTGCAGTTGTTCCGATCACTAGATCTGGGCCATCCCTACCTCCCCACAACACCCAGCCCTCCAGATGAACAGAGGTACACACATTCCCACAGGCATCAAGCAGGCTTGCCTGTTCTGGGGTGAAACTGGGACCCTAACCCGCATTGCACGAAATAAGGAGCTATCAGAAGAAGCCGCCTCTGTGGGGATTGCTGCTTGGGCTGCAGGTGAGGATGGGCCCAGGGCAGGGGGAGGACAAATATTACCCTGCAAGATCCTTTTCAGAATCGCCCCCAGAGGGGCACTAAATTGAATTACCAGATTTCAAGCAAACCACCGAAGCACTGCTCAAATTTACATTAAGAGGGTGGGGTGTCTGGGTATTTGGGGCTCTGAGATGTGGGTCTTTTTGCAAGGGGGTCACTCCCAAACCAAGAAGGGGATTATTCAAACAGGGAGAGGGGCTGCTTACTCCCCCAGAACACACAGGCATGCACACAGATACCAAATGGATTCCAGAGCCCTGAGCCTGGAAAACAGTTTGGAAGAGGGGCTGGCAAAGTGGGGCTGGGGGTTAAACGGCTTTCTTGATCCTTCTTCCAGGGCTCTCCCTCCAAAGGGTAGGTTCATAGGGGTGGCAGCAACCCTGGCAGAGGGGGCAGAACTCAAGATTCAGAATGCCAGGCACGAGTGGGTTCTGGCGCTGAGAAACCCCTGCCCTGTCTCTGAGGTCTCACCAGGAAACAAAGGCTGGCGGGGGAGGCAGAGACGATGCAGGAGGGTTGGACTAGGGGCTTCAGAGCAGCCCCCCCCCCACCCCCGCTTGCCTGGCACAGCTCTGGGACCCAGGAGGGCCCTGGGAGAGGACTAGGCCCTGCCCCCGTCTCCATCTAAAGCTGGCACTAAGGAAACGGGACTCTGGGAGACACTGCTACTATGGAAGAAGCTCCCTCCATTCAGCCCACCCCACAGAGTGGAGGAAAAGAGGAATGTGGGGCGAAAGAGGGGGAGAGGCCCCCGGCAACACGGCACCTTCTGCTCAGCGCCCCCGTTATTTTTTCAGGGATCCAACTTTGCTGGCCCTCCCTCTGTCCTCCCTCCATTGGCTCACTTTCCTCTCACGGGTGGACGCATATACAATACACACATGTGTCGATGCTATAGATTTTTTGGTGGTCCCCCATTTTCCTCTTACCACATTCCTCCTTCTTCCTCCATCCTTCCGTTTTCTTTTCTCCCACCCCTCTCTCCCTTCTCCCATCTTTCCCTGTGTGATTTCACTCTCTCTCTCCTCCAGCAGTCTGTAGTTCCGGATAGGGGACCCCTCTCGTCAGCTCCCTGCCTCCTTAGACCAGGCCATGGGTGCAGCTCCATCTCTGACCCCTGCTCAGGAAGAGAGCTTCCAAACTCGCCCAGCAAGGGGCTCCGTGGGACCCCACACCACCCAGACTTTATTACAAATAAGGGAGGGGGGAGCACAAAGGGCGGCAACCAGCCCGAAGTCTCCAAACGAATGCGGAGGGGAAGCCAAGCCCCACCGCCTGGTCCATCCCTCCGGGCGCCCTCACTCACTGTCGGGACTGAGGCCGCCTCCGTAGCCGTGCGCCCGTGGGTACCAGCGCGTCGCACCTCCGCAACCGAGAGTGAAGGGCGGCCCGGGCCCGGGGGGCGGCCGGGGACCGAGGCCCAGCGCACCCGGTCCGAGCAGCGCCCGGGCGCGCGCCTCCCCGCCAGGCCCGGTGCCCGCTCGCAGCTGTCGCCGCCTCTGCAGCCGTCGCCGCCGCGCCTGCTCGGCGTCCTCATCCTCCGCGTCGTCGTCGTCCTCTTCCTCCTCCTCGCGGCTGCCGTCGCCCTGGGCAGCGCGTCCCGCGCCCTTGGCCTCGGCAGCCAGTAGGTTTTCAATGAGAAAGGAGGAGGTGCGGGCTGGCGTGGCGCGCCCGGGCTCCGTCAGCTCGTCCGGCATCACGGCCACGGGCCCGTCGGGTTCTGCTGGACTCCTTGGGGTCCCCGGGGCGCGGCCAGTCCCCGCTGGGGATGGTGGCACGCGGCTCCCAGGCGCACGCGCGGGCCGGGCCTGGAGCCGCTGCCCGGAGCGCTGGCGTCGGGCCCCGCGGGGCAGGCGGCGGCCTCGGCGCTGGGCTGGGCTGGGCTGGGCTGGGCGGGAGCGGGTGCGCGCCGACAGCCGCCGGGGAGGCCGCCTCGCTCGCCTTTCACGTCGCCGCTCTGGTCGCCGCCGGGGCCGGCCTAACCGGGGGCGGGGAGGGGGGAGGGGCCGGGGGCGGGGCGGCGCGCGCCGGGCGGGCGGCCAACTCAGCCCCAAGGACGCCGCGGCGGCCCCGAGCGTGGCCACTGGCGTAGACGCCGCTCCGACCCTGAGCGCAGGCGGCGGCGTGGCTAAGGCGAGCGGCCCGGGGCACGGGTGGGGGTCGCGCCTGTCGGGCCCAGTGTGACGCATTCCAGCGGTCCGCGCCACCCCCCCGAGGGCGGGGCCTCGGATGGACCACTGCCCATTGGATGCAAGGCCCCGATGAAGACAGATTGACCAATCACCGTCCGGCAAGATCCGTAATTACCCCGCCGCGGGAGAGCAGTGGACCCAGCGAATCCATGTGTGTGCGTGTGTGCGCGCGCGCGTGTATGTCATGTGTGCATGTGTGCGTCTGTATGTATGTGAGTGTGTGCGGGGCAGTGTGAAGACACCAAGTCTTCTAAGAAACCACAGAAGATGGGCTGCAATCTTTCATTTATTTTTTAAGACCCTGCAAGTCGTTTAAACAAGGGAGCTTTGCCAAAGCAGGGCTGCAAAAATGCATCAATTTTAATATTTACATTTTATGAAATACGCTTTCTTTGCGAATTGTAGTACGCTAGAACTCTCCATTCCGGGCTCCGTCTCAGTGTGTAAGGAAATGCAACCGTACAGGGCACTTCCCGCGATCTTCCCCGTGGGAGCGGGTCCCCACTGCACTGGCACAGGCGCCGCCAACTCCCCGAGGCCTTGGCCTTGGAAGGGGTGGGATCTTCCGGCCCAGTCACGTCCCCACCCCTCGCCAGAGGTCTTGGCTGCAAGTCCCTTTTTGAACCTCCGTTTCTCTGCCTGTAAGAGTTGGAGAGCCCCCTCCCATTTCAGGAGCTAGGCGACAGAAGAGCTGGTAACCAACCTTCTGATACACTTCATCTGCTAGCAGGTGACTGCGAAGTCACTGATCACAACATGGGCGCGCTCAGTTGTAGCCGAGAGATGCATCCAGCCTCCCGCAACCTGTATCCAAAACAGGAACGTCCCCCCTCGCTTAATTTTCCAAACCATCGTGAAGTGAGCATCACCCCATTTTCCGGAGGGAAATACTGACGCGAGAAGAGACTCCCCCAGTTGACACTCTAGGCCTAGAGCTCGCCCTGCATGGATGTCCGAGTCCAGCCTGGCAACAGAGCTGCAGAATAGGATGCTGGGCGGGTCCAGAGGCCCAGAAAGTGGGACCCTGTGGGCTGGGCCTGCAGCGGCGGCAGACAAAGCACAGTTCTCCTGGGTGCACCTCTTGGGCGCGCCTTCTGGCGGCAGTGGTAAAGGACCTCTGGTGCCCAGTGGCTGCACAACCTAGGGCGGGAGGTGGACTCCTCTGCAGCAGATGTTCAACCTATCTTCTTCCCCAAGTGGGGCAAAAAGAATCAAATCAGGGACTGGGTGGGTTGAGACAGCCATTTTGATGGGTTCCTACCCCCATTTCATAGTTGAGAACCCGAAGTTCTCAAAGTTGGGCGGCTTAGCAAAGAGCTGAGGTCTCCTAAGTCCTGATCCCTGGGGTGTCCAGGGTCAGAGACACGAAGGACTGCAGGTGCCCCAGCCAGAGGGGCTGAGCCCAGGGAATAAAGGGTCACCCAAATTCGTTTGGAGGAGGAGGAGCACACAAGCTCTGGGCAAACGTCGTCTACTCTGAGGAGTTTGGACAAACGGGGCGACTGAAGCCAGAGAGTGTCCCCGAGTAACGGGGCGACGGCTGCAGGAAGGGCGCGATTTGGATAATCACCGATATATGCAGGTTGCCAGGTCCACCTCCAGCGGCGCCTCCTCACGTTTCCTCTCCGTCCAACCGCAAACCTGCAAGGACTGAGCCCTGGTTTCCCCTTCTTGGAGCACCTTCAGGATGCGGGCGTGTCCTCCTCAAGCCCCCCCCCTGAGGGGGCTTCCTCAGAGCCTGGATTCAAAGTCCCTCTTCTCCGGGACTTGTGGCCCTAGATCAGGAACCTGAAAACCTGCGTCCAGGGCCGCCGGCATTGCGAGGCGTGGGAGTGGAGGCTGCGGCATTGCGAGGCGTGGGAGTGGAGGCTGCGAGGCGCCAGGCGCCCACCACTGTCCTCCTACGCTTCTGGAGGGCGCGTGTGAGAGAGGCGCCTGCAGGGCGGGCGTGCGGGGCTGCGGTGCCAGGCGATGTGCGCGGTGAGCCTGGAGAGTGCTCCTGGCCACTGGCGTCGGCCCTTGGTGACTGGTGGCGAAAGTGCAACCCGACCCCTACGGGGGACACCCGGCGGCAGCTGACGCACCCCAGCTCTAGACTATCCACTCTGGCAGCCCTCGTGGTTCACGAAGACGGTTAAGGCGAAGCCTAGGGACACAGCGCTGGAACTGGCGAGCAGGCGGGCGGCAGTTAGGGACGCGCGAGCTGGCCCAATGGGTGCCGGTGCCGGATGCTGGTCCTGGGCTCCTGGGGCCAAGTGGGCATTCCTGCGTCCCGGTGAGCGGAGGGTTCGGGGTTGGACTGTGGGGCGGAGGCGGTGAACCCCGGAATCGCTGCCTTCCGGGCTTCGTGCGTTTGGATGTGGCAGGTCGGGGTGTCCAGTGGTTCTCAGCTCAGCGACAGTCGGGACGAGCTTCCAGAGACACTCTGTGAAGTTGCCTCTCTCATCTGGGACCTCTGGCTTTCCCAGGGCCAGGACCCAAGGTTCCCCTGCCCAGTAGGTACTAGACAGAATTCGTGGATTGGGGAACTGCCCCAGCTCCAAAACCCGGCCACTTCCTGTATGTCCATCTGTGAAAGGTCGCCCCCACTCCCCCAGGCCACAACCATCCTTCCTCACGGACAGTGGCCACCATGTCTGTCGCTTCTCAGTCCTCTTCTGCCCTTCCTGGCATCTCTGCTGTGCTGTCCCTTGGGAGCGCCTTAAGCTCTCCAGCAGACCCTGCAGGAAACCCAGAGTCCTCTCTGTTGGAGAGCTCTGCCTTCAGCAGGGTCCTCCTCACCATTGTAACCCAGTGCCCAGTTCAGGGGCTCCTAGCCAAGATGCCCCATAAATCTGAGTAATGGGTCGTGGGAATGATCCCAAGCACACAGATCTGAATCCCAAACTACAGGCGGCCACAACTCGTTTTTTTTTCTTTTTAATAAACTTTTTTTCGGAACAGTTTTACAATTTAGATTTTATTTTTGTTTCTTTCATCCCTCATCCCAATCTTGTTTCTCTTTACCTCATTCCCTGCTGTCCCAAGTGCCTGCTTTTATGTATTAATTTACAAAAACAATACAACATTATATGCTTCTACTTCTCATTAAAAAATCTAGTTGACCCCCTAGTGGGGATTCCAGGACCCCCCTTCCCGTATCATACCAAACTGTGAGGATTCTCAAGTCCCTGATATACAATAGAGCTGTATTTGTATCAGACCTATGCAAATCTCTGTGTAGTTTAAGTCATAGCTAAAGCCTTGTGATACCAGATACAATGTAAAAAGCTGTTGTACTTTATTTGGGAATCATGACAAGAAGATAGTCTACCTGTTCAGTGCAGGTTTTCATATATATGTGTATATATATATGAATCTATTTTGCAGTGTTGGAAATCAAGCCCATCTTTTGAATATTTTCTGATCTGTGATTGGTGGAATCTAAGGGTGCCGAACCTGCTGTGTATGTGTGTGTTGTACCTGTGTTGATAGATCTATGTTGATCCTTGCAGGAACACCGTGCCCCCAGGTGCTAGGGATGGAACCCAGGGACTCAGGAATGCTGGGCAAGTGCTTTGCTACTGAACTGCATCCCCAACCCTTTCTATTTATTTATTTATTTTAAGACAGGTCTTCACTAAGTTGCCCAGGCTAGCCTTGAACTTGTGATCCTTGCTCCAGCCTCAGAGTAGTGGGTTACGGCACCATCTCCTCTGTTCCTTTTTGTAACTGTTATGTACTAATCCAGAATTCACATGCTGCTGTTCCCTTACTACAGCTGCGTACACAATCCCCAAAACAGCCGTTTGTGAGAGTGCTCGGAGCCCCTCTGGATCATGATGGCTCATCTCCAGTTCATGAAGTCTGGGCCCCAGTTGGGAATCTTGAAGTGTGTGGTAGCACATGGGGCTCATCTAGAGCACAGCTGCTCGTTTATCTGGGGCTGGGGCTGCTGTGAGAGACCCCTTCAGGGGCCTCTCCATGGGACTGGGTTCCTGGGAAAAGAGGGGACAGAGACAGGGGAGCGGGCGGAATCTAGCCTGGGAATGCAATCCTTACTCCACCACACTCTATTGATTAGAGCTGTCACAGCTTCCACCCACGTCCAAGGGGAGGGGACAGAGACCCCCTGCTCCAGTAGGAAGAAGGCTGAAGTCACCTTTGTCGGACCATATGAGAAATGCTTTGTGGTCCCTCAGGAAAACATACCTGCTGAGTCAATGCTGCTTCCCTCTGGGGGAGCCCAGGTTGTTTCTGCTCCACTCTTGGGGACACACTGGAATGAGCAGACCTTTCCATCTTCTTGATGGGCTGGGAGACTTTCTGGAGGTGATGCCTGAGGGTGGAGATCCTAGGTGCCGGTCTAGGCAGAGGCAACCTCCCTGAGCACTTCAGAATTGTTCTCCAGAATTTTTCTTCACAATAGCTGTGCCTGTTTCCATTTCCTCCCATGTTCCCCAGCATCGGCTCTTCTGACTGTCACACGTGTGACACGGTGATGCAGAAAAAGGGAATCCTGGGTG